CCCCAAAACCCCAAAACCCCAAAACCCCAAAACCCCAATATTCATTAATTTTATTTATAATAGAAATGTCACTATTAGAAGACTCAGCAGAGGAAAATTCTGACAGTAAGTTTCGTATCTAGACCCATAGCCACAAACAGAGAAGCCAGCATGAATTTTAACTCGGATAAACAAGAGGTAGAATCTCTATCGTCAGCTGTAAAAGTTCAAAATTCTAAGGGTATATCAAGTTCTAATATTTAGAAGAAAACCAAGAGGATTTTAAAGATCTCTCAGATTTCAATGCTTCCGAGCGGGAATTTGAAAAGATTTCCTCAAATGATCTCTGAAGTGAGGAAAATAATCAAGACAATGTCTTCTCTAGTGGAAAATATATAATGAAAGAAGTGAATGATCACCAAGCCGACAACTTCGACCTTCCAAGTAAGTTTTCATGGCTATAGATTAACCCAAGGAGTTTTAGAAAATGATGAAGCCAAAAATGAGAAGACATCTCTACATAATTATATCAAAAATCAGAGATCTCTGGATGAAGAAGACCAAATGGAAAATAAATCTGTATGTTTAGTTAAGAATTTCAGTTATTTATTCATTAACATAGAAGTCAAACTTCTTTGGAGATAATTCAGACCAAGAAAATGGTTCTCAGGGTGAAGTTGAGAAAAGGATCTATGATGATCAAGCCTCTGATACAAAAGAGGAGTCTAGCAATAATTTAAAGATTAATAAATTCCATAAAGCTGACCATCATTACTCCCTGAAGATAGGAGTTCAGCAACTCAGAGAGTACAATTTAGATCCTCCAAATTAGAGATCGGGATGGAAGCAACATCAAATTGAAGATAGAGCCGGAATTGATCTCTCGACCATTTGCTGAGGAGAATACTCCCACACCCAAAATATCTCCTGCTATACTTGCTGCAGAAAATGACCAGTAAGGCCATTAATTGTGACACTTCGAGTTATTCTTAATCCCTCATAGTGGTCCACTAAACACAGTAACTGAAGATGAAGGAACAGAAGAAAAATCTAACTTTTCCAGTCGACAAAGTTTCTTAGAATCTAACGAGAAGTTCAGAGTAAAGGTAAATAACAGCGATGGCACCAGCATTCAGCAATCTGAGAAGATATCAACAAAGAAAAAGTCTCCTGACGCGAGTAAATTTAGAAAATAATTCATCTGACTCTAAAAATCTTGATCTGAAGTATAATCAGAAGGACTTATTCCTCCTTACTTCAGGGAAAGATTCTAATTTTCCTCCTTCTGAGCAAAAATAGCATCAGAAAGTTAGATGTTTCAGATATATCAGAGTCTGAGAGACTTGAGATTGAGAAGACAGTCTCTCAACTTAGCAGTCACTACGAAGACCATGATAATGTTGTCCATATCACACAAAGCTCCGAAAGAAACAGTAAGGTTTTGTGCTTTATGCTTATAGAAAAATCTCGAACCTTCAAGACAAAGTTACAAATGTGACAGAAAAACTTTCCTAAAGCCTTCAAGATTAAACAGAACTTCTTTAAGTACAAGACTATTGAGGTCCGGACTAGGCTTAACCATTTAAAAGGATCTGAGGCAGGTAGTAACCTCCTTCAGATTACAGAAGATGAGCCTAAAGATGGTTTCAGATCATATCTGAAAGCAATTCAAACAGCTAGAAAGGCAATTACCACTTTCCAAAAATAGAGAAGTTTCGAAAGAGAAGTCATTGACGAATCTTCACAAATTCGAATCTCTGGCTTCTAATTTTCCTTCTGCACAAAAATCTCCTTTAAAGAAGTACATGAAATCATCTGTCCAGGACTTGTTGAAGTCAATTTCTCCAACTTTCTCTCCAGCAGGGAGAGCAAGAAGTCCAAGTCAGATACAGGCAGCTATTAATCGTAGAAGGGTAATCTCTGTTTATTCAAGAAGCCAAAGAAGAAGGGTTCCTATGAAATTGAAACTAAAGCAAAAACCAAAGCTTCCAATGTTTCAGTAGTAGTAATTTAAAACCTATATTTTGCATAACTTTCCTATTACAAAATCTTCATTACCTTGCAATATTTACATTCTGTACCTTAAGAAGAGTACTTAAATAATCATAGTGTGCCTTATTATTTTATGAAGGTGGAACTTTTGGGTACCTTCACCTCTCCCAAAATCAGCACAGCTATATCTTCAACCATCATAAAAACTTTTGGGGTTTTGGGGTTTTGGGGTTTTGGGGTTTTGGGG